ATATTAATCACCTACTCAGTTTTAAAAAACACTGAAGCCTGAGTTCCACCTCCTGTGATTCTGATTTACTTGTTCAAGCTTTCCAGGTGATTTCTTTCTTTTTTTTTTTTTAACCCTCACCCGAGGATATTTTTTTTGACTGATTTTTAGAGAGAGTAGAAAAGAGGGAGGAAGGGAAGAAGGGAGAAAGAGAAAACATCCATATGAAAGAGACACATCGATTGACTGCCTCCAGGGCAGTCCAACTGGGGCTAGGGATCAAACCTGCAACCCAGGAATGTGCCCTTCACTGAGAATTGAACCCTTAGAGGGTGGGCCAATGCTTTAACCATCTAGCAACACTGTCCAGGGACCAGGTTATTTCTTTTCAATTAAAATTTTTTCTAGCTTTATCAAGAGTAATCTATAATAATAAAAGTGTAATATGCTTTTATTATTATAGCCGAACAACCTTCTGGATGTCATTTCAGACATCCTTCCGGACAAAGCCACAGCAGCGGGGGCTGAGGTATAGGCGGTTAGGAGTGATCAGGCAGAAGCAGTTAGGGGTGATCAGGCAGGCAGGCAGAGTGGTTAGGAGCAATCAGGCAGGCAGGCAGAGTGGTTAGGGGCAATCAGCCAGGCAGGCAGAGGGGTTAAGAGTGATCAGGCATGCAGGCAGAGTGGTTAGGAGACAGCAGTCCCAGATTGTGAGAGGGTCCAGGCCAGGCTGAGGGACACTCTCTCCCCATGCACAAATTTCATGCACTGGGCCTCTAGATGACATATAATATTGTAAGTTTAAGGTGTACAACATGATTTGATGCAAGTATATACTATGAAATGATTACAATGGTAAGATTAGTTAACATGACCATCATCTCACATACTTACACACCATGTGATTTTTTTCTTGTAGTAAAGGTTGAGAATCACTGCTTCAACAGTTACACAGGTGGAATTAGATAATGAGAACAAATACAGTGTTTGCCAGGGCCAAGATTTCACAGTAATTACAGTTGCATTTGTGAAATCAAACTTATTTCACAGAGGCATTGTGGAATTTAGGTGCCCTATTAGCCTTGATTTTAAAACTGAGGCTAATTACTGCTGTGGATCAAAACTTTTTAAAATATATATATTTTATTGATTTTTTACAAAGAGGAAGGGAGAGAGGTAGAGAGTTAGAAACATCGATGAGAGAGAAACACCGACCAGCTGCCTCCTGCACACCCCCCACTGGGGATGTGCCAAACAATGTACATGCCCTTGACCGGAATCGAACCTGGGACCTTTCAGTCGCAGACCCATGCTCTATCCACTGAGCCAAACCGGTTTCAGCAGGATTTTTATCTTGAGATTATTTGGTTTAATAATAAGGACACATTCTTTTCATCCTTCAGGATGCAGATCAAGCTCATCTCCTCTGGGAAATCAACTCCCAACACACAGGGCTTTCTTGCCCTTTAATTTTTACAATTCTTTACTATCTGATTGATTTGTTAGGTACTTAAGTAACATTAAAATAGTAACTTACATTTTTGTGCTTCCTTCATCAACAAGCCATGCACTAGAAACCTAGCTTGTTTCATAACAGGCATACTTCTTACTATCCTACACCTGGCTTGTGTGATGTTGCCAAATCTGGCCCTGGCATCTATCCCTCCAACTTCATTTCATCACTATGACTTTCTACTGTTGAGCTCTATCCAAGTAGCCTTCCTTCATTTCCCTGAATATACTATGCTCCTTTTATATATATTAATAGAGGCCCAGTGCACAAAATTCATGCATGGAGAGGGGGTTCCCTCAACCCAGCCTGCACTCTCTCTAATCGGACATCCCTCTCACAATCTGGGACCACTGGCTCCTAATCACTCACCTGTCTGCCTGATAGCCCTAACCCCTCTGCCTGCCTGCCTGATCTCCCCTAACTTCTCTGCCTGCCTGTCTGATCACTCCTAACTGCTCCCCTGCCAGCCTGATTACCCCTAACTGCTCTCCCCTGCTGACCTGATTGCCTCTAACTGCCCTCCTATGCCAACCTGATTGCCCCCAACTGCCCTCCTCTGCTGGCCTGATTGCCTCTAACCCCCTGATGGCCTTATCTCACCCCCAACTGCCCTCCCTTGCCACCCTGATCATCCCTAACTGCCTTTGCCTCGGCCCCCACCACCATGACTTTGTCTAGAAGGAAGTTGGACGTCCAGAGGATGGCTGGTCGACCCAGTCTAATTAGCATATTACCCCTTTATTAGTATAGATCCATGGCCGGCAAACTGTGGCTTGAGAGCCACATGCAACTCTTTGCCCCCTTGAGTGTGGCTCTTCCATAAAATACCAAGGCCTGGGTGAGTCTATTTTAAAGAAGTGGCATTAGAAGAAATTTAAGTTTAAAAAATTTGGCTCTCGCAGGGACCGGTTTGGCTCAGTGGATAGAGCATCGGCCTGCGGACTAAAAGATCCTGGGTTCGATTCCGGTCAAGGGCATGTACCTTGGTTGCAGGCACATCCCCAGTAGGGGGTGTGCAAGAGGCAGCTGATCGATGATTCTCTCTCATCGATGTTTCTAACTCTCTATCTCTCTCTCTTCCTCTCTGTGAAAAAATCAATAAAAAAAATATATTTAAAAAATAAATAAATAAAAAATAAAAAATTTGGCTCTCAAAAGAAATTTCAATAATATTATTGATATTTAACTCTGATGACTAATGAGTTTGCCGACCACTAGTATAGACTATATAGAATAGGAATGCTTAAGTGGGGGCGGGAGCCTTTTTCAGCAGGAGGAGATGCTCTTTGCAGACAAAAATACATAATCCCTATATCTAGACTTATAACCAGCCATACACACTATACTGCCAAACCAGTTACGAAAAAAATTGAACTACTTTCTTATGCCTTATATCTCTTGAAACCCCTTCTCGGCCCCCACCTTAGGTTCTGTCTCCACAGTTCACCCAGATTAGGTTTTGATTGGTCGGTTCCTATGCCAGTCAGCATCAAAAGCTCTGCCTCCTAGTCAGCCACTGGCTCCTCATACGTCACCCAGATTTGGTTCTGATTGGTCAGTTTCTATGCTAGTCAGTGTCAAAAGCTCTGCCTTCTAGTCAGCCACTGGCTCTTCTGGAAAATCCAGAATGGCCTTGCTGACAGCTGTCTTTCTCTCCAGGCCTATTTACGGGCCTGATCTGAAGCCTCCATGGAAGCTGAGGATTAGGCCCCACCTCTCTCTCTCTCTCCCTCTCCTTCTCTCTCTCTCTCCCTCACCAACAGCCGTGGAGGCTACTAACCAGGCCCTGCTTCTCTCTCTAGGCCTGATATGCAGCCGCCACAGCAGCAGTGAGGTCATTAGGCCTCCAGACTGTCCCCTGGCCAGAGGCTAATGACCTTGCCACACTTGCCTTGCCCCGCCCACCCGCCATCAGCCTTGCCGTGATAGAAGCCTGTGGGCATGGGGGAGGGATCAAGAGGTGCTCCATACACTTCCTGGTGACCATTGGTCTGTCTGGTCATTTAGGTCGTGATGGCCCTAGGCTATTACTAGTATAGATTCTCTCTGCCAAGAGATACCGTAATATGTTCTCTCCCAAACTATTCACCCTTAAGATCATCACTCATTTATCAATTCCTCAGAGAAGACTTAAACTAATCTCCGTGATAAACATTCTCATATATAGTATTGTGTATCTTCTAGATTCTTAAAACTATACAGTTTAAAGCATATATATACTGTGTGTGTGTGTGTGTGTGTGTGTGTGTGTGTGTGTGTGTGTAGCAAATATTATATGCTATGTGGCTATGCAAACACAGCCACATAGCATATAATATTTGGTTATCTGACTCCCTCACTAAGTTACAAGCTCGATGAGGGCAAGAGCATATTTGTCTGGCGTCACAATCAAAAACCCATGTTCAGCACAGTATCTAGTGTACAGAGATACTTGATAAATATTTTAATAATATTTAAAAAAGAATAACTCAAAGTCATTTTCTACATTCTATTTTTTAAAGTCTAAATTTATACATAACCTAGGAATTGAGATATTTATAGATATTTATAATTAACCTTTCCCTTTATTGAAATCTATGCGCAAAAAAGATACCTTGCCATTAGCCATACAATGGCTGCTGTAGCTCTACAGCAGAGGTTCTGACCCACAGGTTGAGAACCGCTAGCAGGGTCGCCTAAGACCATCAGAAAACACAGATATTTACATTACGATTCATTAACAGTAGCAAAATTACAGTTCTGAAGTAGCAACGAAAATAATTTTATGGTTGGGGGTCACCACAACATGAGGAACTGTATTAAAGGGTCACAGCATCTAGAAAGGTTGAGAACCACTGATCTAGAGGATACAATGTATATCAGAAAAATATTAGTTTTCCTTAAATTTGTCACATTTCTTTTCTTCAAGGTCTGGCTCAGATTCCATTTTCCCCATTAAGCCCCAAATTCTCCAGCTAGAAGAAATTTCTCCTACTCTCTTATAGAAACTACAGCTATCCTTGGCTTTATACTTCGTGTTTTTTTGTGACCATACCATCACCATTCCTATCAGACCTAGCTCCTGGGAAGCAGTTCCTATATCTTTTTAATCTTTGAATGCCAAACTATGTTAAGCTCAATAGATGCTTGCTAAACTGAATTTAAAACATTAGGTATAAGAAACCTAAAAAAAGCAAAATTTTACAATTTCTGCAGTAGATTTTGAGAGATATTTCTAAATCTCTAGGCTTTCTAGGGCCTACTACATGACTTCTCACTTTACATATGTAATTATTAATCTTCAAAAGAATTCTGCAAGATAGAAATGATATCCATTTTATAAATAAAGAAATGTAAACTCAAAAAATTACATCATAACTTGCTCTCAGTCATAAGTAAGCAAGCTGGGATTTTTGTTAAGACTCTGACTAAAGCAAGGTCCAGATATTATTAGACATTCATCTTAATGGAGTCTTATGTAACTAAGACATTAGACAGCCTGACAAGTAATTCATTTTTAAAGTCTAACCTTCAAATGCCCTTCGCCTGTGAGGAATTCAGAGTAACCAGCATCGGTGGCCAGCAAACCTACGAACTGCATGCTGGGCCGTTGTTGTATAAAGGCTTCAACGGCTTTATCTGTCACGTGCTTTCTCCCAGAAACGTCCAGGGAGACCAGGTTGGGTAGGATATCTTTTTGTTCTAATAATCGAAGAGCTATGTCTGATGTAAATTGTTTATCATCTGATATATCAAGATGATTCAGGTATTTTAGTTCTCGAACAACATCTAGTATCTGAGTAGTTGTCATTTTTAAACATTTTAAGTGATGCATGGTTAGAGACTTGAGTCGGTCCTTGCAGGCCAGCAGAAACGTGATGTCTGTGATGGAGGTGTTAGAAATGTCCAGGCTCTCTAATCTTGGCAATGAGGCAACTTCAGCCAGGTCTTCATTGTAAAATTGAACGTTGGTGATGCTTAATGCTCGAAGGCCAGAAAGCTGGTTGAAGCACCGCTCATAAGGATCTTCAAGGGACAGAGTTAATGAATTCAGCACCAGGCACTGGAGATTTTGCTGGATCCATTTATTGCTGCCAAGCCCGCTGATGATGTCTGTGATCGTGATGTCAGCATTCACACCTGTCGCGTCAAGTTCCACTAACTTGTGATGGCAGAAGGCTTTGCGAAAAGCAACAGCAGAGATCTTGGCTTTGCGAATGCAAGCTCTCTTTAAGCGCATCTGGTTGCCCCTAAAAATACCTACAGTTCCGTCATTCAGGAGACCTGGAAGAAGAAAAAAAGCAGCACTTCAACTTCAAAAAATGGTTAAAGAAAAGCTAAAATTTCTAGCATACTTTACATTTCCAAAGCACCATGTGACAATGTTTCGTTTAATATATAAAACAATTGACCTAGGTAAAAATATTATCTACAATTTATAGATGAGTAAACAGAGGCTTAGAAAAGTGACTTTCTCAGAACTAGCAAGAGGCAGACTCAGGACTGTGGTAGACGTTACTGAAATTACATCTGGTTCGCCTCATCTTCCTGAACTCATGGACAATTACATTTCCCAGAACACCCTTGGGTTAGATGGGGTTATTTCCCTAGTTCTGCCAAATGGTGCTTCTGTAACCTGAAGCACCTGAGACCCAGTGCATAATTTTTCATTCTATCTTTTCCTGCTATGAGAAATGAGGAGCCTTCACATTCTACACAATTAACCTTTATGAGAGTGGAGCTTCCATCAGCCCACGTCCTAGGGTGACCATGAGCAGAACCCTTCATGAATTTGCAGCATTTATGCACCATGAGTGAGGTCTAATCTTTGTGTTATGCTACTAGGTCTGGGGGTAAATTTGTTAGTAATGCCTTTAAAGCCTATCCCTTTAAATCTCTATAACACATTATTAAACACATATCTACATACAAGTATAGTTAACACATATGTCTATAGTTCATTACAAAACTACCAGCTAATAAGATCTAAAATATTAAGAGGATCTACTTTTAATCTTAAATAAGAATAATTTGCCATGTAGGGTTTTCCCTCAATTCTTTCGTATATTAGAAACTTTTGCTTAATTAACCTATTGCCTACATATTTGAGTATGGGGTTTTCTTTTATGAATATTATAGTTTTTTAAAAATATCGTCTGGAATATTTTATAATGAGCATAATTTGGGTTCCTGAAGACAGATGCAGTAGCCAAGCTCATGGAAAAATCTGAATTAAAAGGACTAATCTAAAGATGAGTACTTAAGATTATTTAATACTTAATAGACCACAGCCCAAATAAATTAGGCTATGAAGTGTTTCCCAAACTTTTGACATATGTGTACCCCTTCTATAATTTTCGTAATGCTGAGTACCCCTCATACTCATTAGAATGCAGAATTAGGCGCAGCTAAGCACGGTGTAGTGCATATCTCCACCAAACTCCTGTGCAATGCGTACCCCCACCAAACTCTTCCTGTACCCCTGGGGGTACGCGTACCACACTTTGGGAAACACTGGGCTATGGAATAAATATGCATTTTAATAAATGACAGATTTGTTTTGTGCTTTTTGAGATTGACAGTTTGTGCATTCATGCCTTAACAATTTATGTGATAAGTTTTATGTGTGTCAATTTCTGAGGGAGCCAAAGAATTGTTTAATCTAACTATTGGTTTTTCCACTTAGATAAAAGACTTGCTCCTTAAAAAAATAAAAATAAATAAAATAAAATATTAAGAGGATCTAAAGATTATAGTCCCTCCCTGTGAGATGAACTCAAATACAGTGAACATAGTAACCTCCTGAAGCCCCTAAGAGTTAAAAAAATAATAATAATAGTAACTCATTATACCAAGAACCAGTAAGGTTTCATACTAATAGATAGATAGATAGATAGATAGATAGACAGATAGATAGATAGATAGATATAAATTCAATATGTGATAACAAAAATGTTAAAATTGACAAATATTTTGAAGGAGCCACCATAAAAAGTGCTTAAGTGAGCAATTACAAATTTCATGCTTGAAACAAATAAAAAATGGAAAGCCTCAGTAAAAAATAAAAGACCTTAAGAAAAACCAAATGACAATTTTAGAACTGAAAAATACAATAATAGTTGGGTTCAACTAGAATGGAAGGAACAAGGGAAAGAATCAGTAAACTAAAAGATAAAACAATAAAAATCACTAAAATCTAAACAGAAAAAAAAAAAATACACTGAAAAAAAAAAAAATGATCAGAGCTATTTGTCATTGAAGTCCCAGGAGAGGAGGAAGAAGACAGGGTTGGAAAAGTACTAAAAGAAATAATAGCTATAGATCTATGAGAATGCTCAAATAAAATATAACAACACTAAAGACTGGCAAGTATGTGGAGAAACTACATCTGTCCTATATAGCTGGCAGAGGTGTAAAATGGTACTAACACACTTAAAACAGTTTGGCATTTTTCTTAAAACCTAAATACAACTATCAAACAACACAGCAAGAGCACTCCTAGGTATTTATCCCAGGGGATGAATGGTTATACAAACAGATCTACTTCATAACAGAAATACTAGGTGTCTCAGTTAATAAAGCAGATATTTTTCAATAGATGGTGTTACATATATGTTAATATATGTGATTTGATATTATGCTATTTTAAAAAATATATTTTATTGATTTTTTTTTACGGAGAGGAAGGGAGAGAGATAGAGAGCTAGAAACATCAATGAGAGAGAAACATCGACCAGCTGCCTCTTGCACACCCCCTACCAGGGATGTGCCCGCAACCAATGTATATGCCCTTGACTGGAATCAAATCTGGGACCTTTCAGTCCGCAGACCGATGCTCTACCACTGAGCCAAACCGGCTTCGGCAGATATTATGCTATTTTGTTGTGTTGACAACAAGCTTCAAAACTTCATGTCAAATTTTCTGAAGTGTTAACATCATAGATATTTTTACGCTTAAAAATGTCAAATTTCGTGTCCAAAAAAAGAGCATTTGAGGGAAGTTTTAATTCATTACATTATTTTGAAAAAAAGTTCTACTTTTATTTTGAAGAAAATTGTATTTTGAGAATCCCAAAAGCACAGAATCATGGGTTAATCCAGGTCAACCATCAACATGGACTTCAAGGCCAAATCACTTCAGAAAGAAGACAATGCTCTGCGTTTTGGTGGGATCAGGAAGGTGTGGTGTATTATAAGCTTCTAAAACCAGGTGAAGCTGTTAATACTGATCACTACCAACAACAAATAATCCATTTGAACCATGCTTTGATAGTAAAATGACCAGAATAGGCCAGAAAACACGGCAAAGTAATTTTGCTTCATGATGACGTACCATCACACACTTCAAAACCAGTTAAAGACACATTAAAAGATCTTTCCTGGGAAGTATTAACCCACCCACCATATTCACTAGACCTTGCTCCTTAACATTACCACTTGTTCAGGTGGATGGCACATGCACTTTCTGAGCAGCCCTTCAAAACGTACGAAGTGGAAAGTTGGGTTTCTGAATGGTTTGGCTCAAAACAAGGAAAGTTCTATGGGGATGGTATCCACAGATTACCTGAAAGATGGGGGAAATGTGTAGCTAGCGATGGACATTACTTTGAATAAAGCACTTTTGATGTTTCTCTTGAAATTATCGTGTTTTCTTTGATTACAAAATTCACCATTATTAACCAGTACACCTAATAAAAAGGATTAATTGATATATACAACAATCTGGAGGAGTCTCTAGAATAAATTATGCTGAGTAACAAAAGCAAATCCCAAAAGGTTATATACTGAATAATTCCACATCTATAACATTCTTGAAATGACAAAGTTACAGAAATGGTGAACAGAGTTTATGGAGGGGGAAGGAGAAGGAGAGAAGTGATTATGGCTATAAAAGGGTAATATGGCCCTTGATGGTTTGACTCAGTGGAGAGAGCACTGGTCTGCAGATTGAGAGGTGCCAGGTTCGATTTCCGTCAAGGGCACACGCCAGGGTTTCGGGCTAAATTCCCAATAGGGGACATGCAGGAGGCAGCCAATCAATGATTCTCTCTCATCATGGATGTTTCTGTATTTCTCTCCCTCTCCCTTTTTCTCTGAAATCAATAAAAATATACATTAAGACAAAACAAAACAGGGTAACATGAGGGATCCTTGTAGAGATGAAAATTTTTGACCATATCAATGTCAATATCCTGGTTGTGATTTTGTATAATACTATGGTTTCACTACCACTGGAGAAGGAGGATATCATCTATATTATTTATTACAACTTCATGTAACTCAACAATTTTCTTAAAAATACAAAGTTCAATTTTAAAGAGATCACTGCAGAAAATTAAAAAGTGTTGACATGGAATTAAGGGAATTCCATCTGATGATTTCAAATTTCTTGCTAAGAATAAGTGACAGAAAGTCTGAGAAGAGCAAAAAACATCTGAAACAATTATGAGGATCACTAATAATGATCAGAGAAATACTCAAGAATTACCAGGCAGTGCTTTAGCTTTATATTACTAAACAGCCTCCTCAACATTCAGGCCTCAGCCCAATTATCACCTCCTTGGAGAAGCTTTCGTTCATCATCCAAGCTAAAGTAAATGCCTTCCTTTTTTAAAAATTTTTCCTGGAAACCATGTTCTTTTTCCCTTAGAGAATCTATCACAGGTTGTAATCCTATATGTTTGTTTGCTTCTTAATTACTATAATGTTGCCAACTGGACTATACACCCCATGTGAGCAACATTTGTGTTTAATATTGTACACTCAACACCTGACATAATGCCTGGCATGTAACAGGTGTTCAATAATTTCCTCCGCTGGCACGTCCTTCTTATACATTTTATTTCTATTGAGCCTCTTCTGCACTCATTAGTAACTCCTTTCAAAAGACATTAAAGATTTCTATTAAGGATGCTTGTAAAAAAGCAAAATGGGAATAGACACTTAGTTAAGATCAATACTTACCTTGTTTATGCCACAAATTAAATTTTCATATATTTTTAAATGTTTTACAGAAGAAATTTCAGCCTCTTGAGTTAATTAAGACTGATTTTAATTTTAGTGACTATTACAGTGCCTTTTGCTATTGTATACATACATTTAGTGAAATGGGTTACTGGGCTATTTGGTTCCGTCTACATTAAATGAATTTTTCTAATTACTAAGTTTAAGAGTCTGTAATTGAGAGTAATGGAATTAAAAGAGCAAATAAATTTTAAAGAAGGAAAAAAGAGAGACTACGTATTTGAGCTAAATCTTTCTTTGCTGTCATTCAATATGCTTGG